ATAATCATTCCCTTAGCCAAGCAGCTATTCTATATGCATTTCCACCCAGAGTGTTGTTCACTAAATGCTAAAAATGTCAGACAGCAAAAAGCAGAGCTCATCATGGTGACTTCTTCTTGGCTCAGATAGCCATGGGTAGCCGTAGTGGAGGGCACTTGGCACAGAAAAATCAGGCTCTTCTTGATTTGCCATGATCATTACTTTCTTAGTTTCAGATAGTCCTTCGTGCCAGCAGCATGATTTTTACAAAATTAAATGCACCTATGTCAAGCATCGGGGGGGTGGTGGTGGTGGAATATATTTATGTTTATGTTAATGTTTGTTTATATGTATACATAGGCTTTGAGTGAGTAAATATGATAGTAATAGCAACTATATTGTGCTAGTATCTAAACATCCAGCTTAGAGGTGATTGGGCTGCAGTGTGCAAACAGAAAAACTTATTCCATCTTGGAAGGCAAAATCTTTCATTTCTATGTACGTTAAAAGATCATATGGTTTATTTATACTTAATCATAATATGACAAAAAGCAGGGAACCCAGAATAAACCAGAACAAGTCATCTTACATATGTATTTTAAAACATCAACTTCAGAAAGAATTATTAGAGGATGAAAGTATCTTGCATAAAATTATGTTTGCATTGGTCTTAGGCGTGCAAGCAGATTAGTTGGGGTTTTTTCGAAGCTTGGAGGAAATCTGTTCTATTCCACCAACTCAATAGCTGCAAGTCATTGCAATGGCTGCAAGTCATTGCATTAGACATAGGTTATAAAACATGCTCTTACGCATTTGCAGAGCTGTATTTTATTAGCATGTCTGATAATAAAAGAGCACCACCAAAACTCACTCTTCTTGTCACCACTAGCTTCCTTCAACAGGAGCAGTAATCATGTTTTGAACAGGGAGAACTGGAGTTCTTGGAGCCAGTTCTCTCTCAACCAGTATGGCTTAATGCGGGCCAGATCGAATTAGAGTGGTCTACGTTGACTGAAGATCTCTCCATTGCTATTTGCAAAACTTTTATTTGGAGACAGTGCCTGTACTCGCACGACATCACTGTCTAGCTGATCATGCTTCTTCAGACACTGCATTCACAAGCACTTTTGATTAGAAAGTAGTTTCAGCACAGTTGCAAGTGGGAACATTTGCATCACTCCTGGGAGCCCAACCAGAGCTGAGTATTTGCTGAAAAGGAAATTTGTACTAAAAATAAGTGTGACCTTCTCGAATCAGCACTTTTCTGAAATTCCACTGAAACAGTATGGCTCTCTCCACCATTCTAAGAACAGCAAAAGTAACGTTACGGTTGAATAATGACCTCCTAGTAAAAAGCTGCCTTTGAATGCAACTTGAGTCCTACTTGATGTTACTTTCTTGGCACAGACATTAATACAAATGTGTAGTCCACTTATATCATTGACAGATCAAAGTAGACATTTTGCATGTACTTTGTATGAATTTGAGCAACTATGTTAGCACTAGAGCAACAGAGAATTATGCTTTTTTTCTCTCTTCTCTCTGCTTTCTTCCCCAGAAGATACCCTTAAGAATGACGGAGAATTTCACGTACTTAAAAACCTACTAATTTAGTCTTTGTTAGAAGGCAGTATGTCAGTTCATTTGTCAGTTAATTCATTTCAGGTCAAAGAAGAAAGATCTGGCTCCATAACATTTACATAAAATGACACAGTAAGCGTGCTGGGCATTGTTCATTTTCTGGAAGGTGTCTCCTATATATATTTACGTGGAGCAGTACACATGTCTGAATGAGAAGTAGGGAATAATGGTGCAGAATCACCCATGGGAAAAGTTTTTCAAGCTTTGAAGTGGAGTGGCAGCAATATGTCTGCAGTACCGTAATGCTTTCCTCATAGCATACACACATTGTTAGATAGTGGATGATGTGCTGATAGGGAGTAACAGAAAGCTGCTATTCTTATGCTCCAGAGGCTTACTGTGAGCCAAGTGGTTTGAATTGTCAGCCTGCAGACTGATACTGTGGATGAATACAGTTGAAGTGGAAGAACTGGATCGCTTGATAAGTTCTTCCCATTAAACTGTTGCTCCTCATGTGTGTTTCAGAAGAGACTTCTGCATTGGACTGTAACAATTTCAAGAAGGAAAGAATTTCAATCTATCTGTGTATTAAGAGAAGGCACTTTGCTTTGTCACTTTGCAGTGTATTTAGAAGGGCAAAATTTTTAAAGCAGCAAAATTACATTTCAAAAAATTTTGTGGAGAAGAATGAATTAAACCCTTTAATGTGTATATCTTACTTTTAATTCAAACCTTTTGAGAGAAACTCTGTTTCCAAGTATTATATTTACTTTGCTGCTTATTTCTACTTTGGGTATTCCTAAGGACCCCAAAGGGTATTTCACTGGGCATGGAAACAAATAGACAGAAACAGTTCCTGCCTCAGAGAGGTAACAGTCAAGAGAAAATGTAAGAGGTGGTTAGAGAAACAAATGGAGAAAACAGGTAAAGAAGGTGTATGCAGGCAGACGTAGCTGTGTCAGTAATCATACACAGCTATCGGCCTAACCAGTGCTAGATGGAAACGCTTCTCCTGGGGCTTGTATGTACTATCTTCTGGTATGCATTCTCACATAAGGTATAATAGACAGTGTCTGCATTGTGTTGCAATTATTCTTGCTGCTTTTATCCTTTGCCATCCATATGACACTTTGTTCAGTTGTGTCAGTCATTGCCGTACATTAAATTTTATTTTTTCTAGTCTCAGTGTAACTTGGTCTCTCAGTTATTTTCTTAATAGAAATAGAGTATCAGCCAAGTTTCCAGTTTGTGTGTTTGAATAATGATAGGCAAACATAGAATATAATAAATCATTAGTCCTTATGGACTGTATCGCCCTGCAGCAGGGTCCCTATTCCTATCCAGTTATAGGAGCTGAAATTTTATTTGAAAGCAAATATCTGATAAGGCAAATTAATTACTGTGACATTTTTCAGTTGGGTAAAAGATGAGGAATCAGCTGTGTCTATGAAACTACAAATGAAAATGCAACACTCAAAGACTTGTTAATGCTTGTTTTGGCATCGAGAAAGGAGGCATAGGTATCTAATATTAAATGGTGTTGCAGAAGGGCAAGTTAGCACTTTATTTGCCAAATTAAGTTTCAAAGACTGTGTAGGTTATGAAGTTTGACTTTCTGCCTGTAAATCTTGAATGACTGACAGACTACTGTAAAATAGCTTTGGTCAAAAGGAATCTTTGGCAGGCGGAATCAAAGGTCTGAAATTCTGGAAGGGATGAAAAGAAAACCCCACTTTTACACTGATTTCCCTGGCAGATGAATGTCTCTGTGAAATTTGCCTGGGAATTATGAGCTATTTACTGTATTATGTGCTGTTTTCTTTCACTGTATCCAAAGGCCTCTGTGGTTCCTTTTATCTTTAAGATTTAGGGATATTTTTGTACGTGAAATGTGAATGAGTGAATGCATCGGTGGAACACAGGGGAAAAAAAACACTGGCTTTAGACAGTTCTGTTCTCCCTTATTTTATTGCAAGTTGGAGTATTGGTTTTATGGCACCTAAATTTATGGGTGCATATTTTTATGGTAAAGCCCAATGACATGTTCTGCATGCTCCATCAAGCTCCCTCAGTGTTTCTTCACTTGATTCACAACTCTGCAGGGTATGAATCAGTCCCATAGTATAACCCTTAATCTCTTTTTAACCAAAATGAAATAATGTAGTGCGGTTTATTTATGGTGTGTGTCATCATGTCATCATCTAATTATGTAAACCAAAGAAGGGGAAAACTAAATGTTTCCCAGAAAACTCTTGTCAGCTGTCAATCAGTGCAGGAGATGAAGTTTCTTTATTGTGTATAAGCAGCTGAGGCAGAAAGTTCTTCGTAACTCACGGATACTTGTCTGTCCTCAAGCAAGATGGGGCACTGCTGGGGCATGGGCTAAAGGGAAAGTGGGCTGGTAGGACAGTTTCTGCTTAGAAACACGACATACATCCTCAGGTACGGTGAGAGGCTTGAGGAGAAGGAAAGCTCCCTCTACTTTCCTTTGGCTCTTTTTAGCTTTCTGTATGGGGTGGTTAAAACTGAATCGATAGAAGGCGCTTAAGCCCTTGTTTGTCTTCCACAGGGTGAAGTGAAGAAGTGAAGCCTCCAAGTTGAACTACTATGAGGTCAGAAGCCTTGCTGCTATATTTCACACTGCTACACTTTGCTGGGGCTGGTTTCCCAGAAGATTCTGAGCCAATCAGTATTTCGCATGGCAACTGTAAGTATAAGCGACCAGAGGACTTCATTTGCTTAATACTGATCTGGGGACTTCATATCAACAGTATTTTGTTACAGTTGCAATGAATAAAAGTTGTTTTTCTTGATGTCTCCCAGATCAGGCAATGTATCTTCTCAGATACTAGTGTAGGAACATGACTTTTTCATATTGACTTATGAATGCTGGGTGGTAAACTGCTTGATATTCCAAAACCATAACCTTTCTCTTTCTCAAACAGAGACATTTCAATAGCATAATTAAACCAAATCTCTTGCTCTATCCAGCAGCAAAGGCAGGAAGCCTTCTACCTCCTCCCACTGCCCTGTAATCAAAATGCCCCTCACTTGATTTGTGAAAATGTAGTTCTGGGTAACCAGTGAAGCACCTCAGAGTATCAAGAATAGCACACTGAAGTAACTGAGCTCTGAGAACATAATTCATTGATCTAATACAAATAATTGAACTTACTTCTTTAAGCTGTCATGGATTCCACATTAGCATTAGGCATTTTTTGCTAAGCTGGAAATGTAGCTAAAAACCAAATCAAGACAAAGAATCTTTTGTAACAGATTCTGTCTTCTTTCTTACCAGCAGTAACTGGCAAACTCTCCAAAATCTAGGGTAACACAGACAGCTGCGAATCAGTGTTGAGATTTGCTGGCCAAACAGGTGGAGATCTTCCTGTGCATTTCACCATGCAAATCAGACTTAGCATAACTGATTCTTTCACATTTACCTCAGCTCAATTCTGATTACCACAAGTAAAAGTCTTCCAAAGTCCCAAAGGTTCATATGTTTAAAAGGAAGTCTTTGGCACCTGGGCCTCTAAAAGTATGCTGAGGAGTAGCAAGTGAGCAACAAGTAGGCTTATGTTTAAGCCTACTTTGGGTCAGGAATTTGATTTTAAAGTGAATCTCTTGATTGTCATTACTTATTGTGCTTTGGGCTGGCCTTGGCATCTGTAAACTTGTCTGTCTTTGGTAGCACCAGGTTGAAAGACAGAGTCCAGGGGCACACTTGATGTACTCCAAATGCTAATAGCCATCTGGGATACAAGAACAGAACTGCTCTGTAGCAAACCCTGCTGAAACTGTCCAGTGTGACCACTAGGTCTGTAGCACCAACATTTTCGTCCTCCAGAAGGGTGATGCTCATTGTCCTTGCTAATGTAGAAATAGCCAGTCTTGATCCTTTTGGAGAAATGAAACATGGAATAACTGTTTCCTCTGCAGCATGGCATGCTGAAGTGCAGTTGAATGTACAGGTCCCCAAGTCATGCTGGATCCGTGAGTTACAGAGGAAACAGTTCTGGACAGAGAACAGCCTGACACTTAAACTTGGCATTTTGCATGTAGGACTTGGACAGAAGGATTAAGCTTCTGAACGTAAATCCTGCCTGGGCTGTCTTAATTTGTTTCTCCAAGAGTTCTCAGCATCTGGTTTGCAGGGAAGTTTCTGTTTCTATTCAGTTTTATCACCAGCCTTTCTGACACGTGGTACTCTCAGGTGCTGTGCTGAATCCATGCTGTGAATCAGTACTTTATCCAAGCTTAATGGGGAAAATACTTTCAGAGGACAATAGCTGAAAACACTAAAGCAGTAGATGAATTTCTGAAAAAACAGGCTCCCTCAAAGAGCTCCAGTTTTCTGGGAAAGCATATTGATGGGGAAAAGGCTCAGGTATAGCTAGATGCTAGTCAGCTCTGTATAATATGCACATGCAGCAGTTCTGCATTGATGATGATGCTCATCAGAGGTTTATGATCCTCATGTCTTCTGTCATTTTATTTACTTGACTTAAATTAATAAAGTTAATAAATTAACTTTAACACAAACTCCCTAGTTTGTGCATCTAGATGTCATGATCACGTATACATATGAAGACTAATAGCAAGGTGCCCTTGGTCAGAAGTGTTCACTGTTGTTATAGGTTGTTCACACAGATCATCTGGGGAGCAACAGGACACCTTCTGTATGATGAGGTCTCACCAAAAAAATTGTGGGAATGGAGTGAATAAATGCTCTTGCTGACTGGTAGAGTCAGGAGGAAAGCTGACTTGTTGATAGTATAAGCGCAGTACAGGGCTTCCAGTCAGTATTGTTGTGCAGTTGCCAAAAGAACTGGAGTATCAGACTGGTTGCCAAAATAATACGCAGTGACTTTCATTTTATAATGTTCAAGTGGTAGTTCCCCACCATTTCTGAGAAATCCCCACAGCTGTTCTATAGCAGCAGTCCAATCCTGTAGAAAACCCAGGGAGCTGGCGGTTTGAACCAAGGAGAGCCAAGTCTTTTGCTTTAATCACTACCAGTCCAGTCATTGTGGTGATTGATGGACCACCATGAAACAGCTTTGTCCTGCTAGACACACTTTGGCAGCCAGGAGCAAGTATTTAAGCTCTGCAAGCAGTGAAAGAAAAACTCTGAGAAAGTGCCACATACCTGTGTGCTCCAGAACAGCTTTATGCTCTAAAAAAACTCGCAATTGTTGTCTTCTACAAAGGTGATGACTTTCTCCTTTGCAGCTCTAAAGACTGTAACCTTGAACAAGTCTCTAGCCCTCCAAGCTTGTGCCTTCCAACCCCAGGCTGTGCTGCTGGGGCAGAACAGAAACCATAGATTTTGGCCATAGCTAAGCCTCATGTTACTCTGTGTCAGCACAGTTTCGGTTTGTGATTCTCTTATGACCCTGTTTTTTTTCCCTTCCTGCAGATACAAGACAGTATCCGGTGTTTGTGGGTCACAAACCAGGGCGAAACACCACGCAGAGGCACCGACTGGACATCCAGCTCGTCATGGTCATGAACAGGACCCTTTACATTGCTGCTAGGTCAGTAGTCCCCTCCTTCGCCACTCCTCCCTTGCTGCTTTTAGAGGAGGAAGGAGAAGACCAGGACTATTCCGAATTCTTCTCTGCCGGACACATTATTTTTAGGATTTTCTCACACTCAAAGAGAACTTTGCAGCCTGTTAGTAAGACATATTGGAAATCTTGTTAGTTGGTTAACTAAGGTTCGGTTTTGTAAGGTGCTGAGCCCGTCCTTTCAGGACTACATACCTCCGCCTCTCTTTGAGTCCAGCAAGAGGGAAGTTGCCAGAGACATTCTTTCGCCCCACAAAGGAGAGAGTCCGTCCTCATCCTGTAATTTTGTTTGTGCACAACATTAATGAGATATTTTAGAGAATGATTCTGCTGGTGCACCAATGCATGTTTGGATAAGAGTTATTAAACTGTAACATTGCTGGTTTAGGCATGTTTTTATTATCTTAAGACAGAAAAGAGGCAAACATGTTTGCTGCTGTTCTTTTGATGTACACAGCAATGTTAATTGAATTTGGTGTCTGGATTTTTTTGGAGAGCTATACTGTGCAGATACAAGCACATGCCTTTTTATAAAAATTGTATATAGAGCCACCCATTCAGTTTGCTCAGCTCAGCATGGCACCGTCAGCTTCAGTGGAGCTACACCGGTTTATACACCTGCCAAGCTGGCACAGATCAGACATTAACTCCTCCTCTCCCTGCCTATTGTTAGCAAAGGAGATTGACAATCTTAGAGTGGAATTACCTGATGGATGCAGAATGAATGCAAGAAAGGTCCAGATTAGCAAGGGTCAGTAGTCTAGTTCAGGAGCTCTTGGACCCAGATCCTGTTTGGCACCTTCCTGCAAGTTGCCTGTCCAGTAGCATCTTGTTTTCTTCCTGTTTTCTGGTCCTTCTCTTCCCTCGGAGAAATATGCACCCTCCTGCGTGTGCCACAGAGAGCCAGGCTGTTGCTGCAGATGGGAGAAGTGGTGGGTGGGATGGCCAGGAGGCGAGAGGGAACAGCTGCTGAACAGGCAGCATCTCACCGCCAGCCCTGTCCTCAAAGCCCTTGGCAGCCTCTGGGAGCTGCCTGGCTTTCTTCTCAAACAGCCACTCCCTATCTTCTGGGTGGTCAGATGTGTCCTGTGATGGAGATCTGCCTGTCAGTCTCCACTCAGCCCTAAGTAATTAGTTGCACTACACCAGCAGAGTCACTGAGTGCTGTTTTTATGGCACATAGTCATGTCCCTGGCTGCTGGAAGACCACACTTCTACCTGTTCCTCTACCCAGGCACTGTAGCTGTACTGGCTAAGCACAGCTTTTTGAGCTCCTCACATAACAGCGGATTGTGCGGGGTCTGGGTGGCAGAGCTCTGGGTTTTCAGTCATGCCAAGCCCTTGCGTCAGGTCTGGGCAAAGAACATGCATCCTTTCACGGGAGCCGCGGTACCGTTGGTTGTAGGGCAGAAAGAGCGGGCAGCCCCACAGCAAGGCCTCCCTGCGCTTTGCCTGAGCTTGGGGATTAGTGTCTTTGCTGCATTTAGTGTGATAATGAACGGGGCAGGCGAGCAGCCTGAAGGGGTTTGAAAGGTGGTGGCAGGATTTCCTCCTTTTCATGGCTGAGTTCCCTTTGCTTTCCTTATTTGTTTTCCTTTAAATTAGGAAATCATTTGCGGTGAGAAGGTGGTAAATCCGCTTTGTGGATTTTGCTCTGCTGTATTCTTAGTTTGTTCCCAGACTGAGATTGACGCAATTAGGCTGTCGCAGTGGCCAAGCAACTGGCATTACAGCAGGAAAACCCAGCGAAACATTTTGGGATATGAAACCACTGTGTGCACAAATTATATAAAGAATGCTAATATTTCACGAATAGCATGTGTACTGGTATGTGAATATGGATTCTTACCTATTATGTGGCTATATATTTAAATAAAACAGTTTAGTACTATGAGAGTGCTTATATACTCCTAGGGTCTTGTGACCTACAAAAAAGAATAAAGGCCTGGTCTGTTTTGTACTTACACAAGTAGAAAAATCTTCTTACACTTTTTTCCTTTGACAGGTTCTTTTCCCCCTCTGCATGTTACTGGATAAAATCCTTGCTGGGCTAAGAAGTGTATGTGATATACAAGCCAAAATTCAAAAGTCATTTTTATCTTTAAATAATAAATTTCAGAAAGTTAGCCATCCTTTGATAATCAGTGTGAATGAAAGTTTATAACTGCAATACTGCATGTCCTTTAGAGGTAGTAGTAGTAAATCTAGAGGCTGAAGCAAATGTGTACACAATCAAAGGTGTTTCCCGAAGAGTTTTGTACCAAGATTCATTGAAAACTGCGTAGCTAACATAAGTCCCTTAGCTATCATATCGGATGTTGGTTTCATGCTCTTTTTTTAAGACATTGAAATGCAGCTATGCTAGGTTTACGTTTGTACCCAATTACCTGAAAGCAAAGAAAACAAATGATTAAACATTGAGAGTTTTTATTTTGAGGTTGTTGGGTTTGGGTTGGGTTTTTTTGTTTGTGTGCTTGTTTTAGAAAATCCAGTGTTTACTTTGCAGATAATTTCCCTGCGCAGGAGAGGACTAACTCAGATTTGAGAACTGCTAACACTTTATTACTGAGCAACTGGCGTAAAACAAAATTTCTGTCTGTCAGTTGCTTATTTTCTCATACAGGATACATGGCTCCTGTATTGGCTATTACGAAATAAAATTTTATGTCACTTCGGAAAGGCTTTATTTCATGCTACCAGGCAGAGATATCCAACCAATATAAATTAGAATAACTCAGCCGAAGCCCATGAAGCTGTGCTGTCCGAGTATCTGACTTGAAGTTTGCAAAGGACCAGCTCTGTTTTCTTTTTTCTCGTGGGAAGGGTGCTCCCTCGCTGTCTCTCTCACACTTGCCCACACCCACACACACACACCCTTTTCTAAATTTGCCATGTCTCCTCCTCCCATTGTCTTGTGCGGTGGCAGCTTTTGTTCGCATTATCTCCCACCCCTCATATGTATGTACAAAACGGTTTATTGAGCCCGTGAGGCATTGGGATGGCTCCCTCCTCATTTGCAGTTACACATTTCCAGACGATGCACTGAGTGGCCAAGGGTCATGCACAGCCGGTGGCATTATTTAAATTCCCTTCTTCCACAAGATTATGCCATGGCAACAAAACTGGGTTCTGCTGACTGGAGGTGGGAAAAACGGAAGCTCTAGGATTAAGTCAATTTGTGTTAGAATAACTTAATTAGCAGCGAGCTGTACACATACCACAGCTAGTAGATAGTAGGAGTTGGGCAGCAGTGGGAAAAGGAGGGCAAGGACAATCCTGCATTGTGTGTGGTTGGAGAGCCCTCCCCTGAATTTGACAGCTCTTTTGCTCTCTGCTGACATTGTCAGCAACTACATTTCATGTACGGTATGAGAAAATGATGTGTAATTTGCCTGATACTAACCCTCTTTCAGATAATCCCGTAACTTAGCCTCTGAGTTTTCTTTGAACTGTTTCTTAAGCCAGAAAGTAAGTCCTCTGTTATTGAGAGTGGAACCAAGTAACTCAAGACTCATTCTGAGTACCACCACTGTATTTTCTAATTGTCTTGTTTAAAAAGAAAAAAATTACAACCACTGGAAAGCAAGACTGATGATTAAAATCAAGAGCTGTCCTGGAAGAAAGTTTTTAGAGCTCCAGCCACACCTAGTTTGCAGTTCAAGAGATTTTGTTCCCACTTTTGTATAGCAGGAGTGACAGCGACAAAGAGTGATGTGTATAAAAAGGGAACCATGCAGTAATCTATGAAGCCAATATCATGCTAATAGATTATTTTAGTCCAGGTCCAACCCTGACCACTGCTCTGCGAGTAAAGTCAGGCAAATAATAAACTGAAGCATTAAACCAATCTTGAAAATAAGTGACAGCTCTGGTTTTAGAGTCTGGAGGAGAAGAAAACCCACAACTTCTCAGTTTGGCATCTTACAAAGCAAACAGCCTCAAGCGCTGTAGCAGACAGTAGATTTTTAAAAGCCAGTTACCCACAACAATGCTGCCTCTTTTCTCCACGTGAGAGAAGTGTTGCTTATTCCTGTTATAGCAATTATTTTGTGTTTGCTTTATTTAAGAGACTAGCACTGTTTCCCCAAAACCTATTAAAATGAAGCTAACCTTCAAAGCAGGGACTTCTGAAATGGAAAGAATCTGTATCCTACTTTCAGCAGACTCCTCCATGCACAGCTTCCTGCATTTTGAAAAAAGCCAATGTTATTTCAAGGAAAAATGAGATGCCCAGTCCCAATTTGATGTGGTGATTACTACAGCATTGTGGGTTGGTGGGTTTTTTCAAATTTTATGTTCCAAACAGAGATGTTCTTGTTCTCAGCTTACACAGAGAAGAATGTTTAAAAATCTCTCTTTACCTGAGTAGCTGAGTCTGTTTCCTCTTTCCAAGGAGAAACTGGCAGCTAATTGCAGAGAGCGACAGGTTCTCAGGAAAACAGAAATGTAAATGCAAGCAAGAAATGTATATTTTCTTCAGAAGAGTATTTTACAGTTTAGTTTGGCCACCAGTGTGTGAAGAGAAGAATGATTTCTGGGAATAGTTTTGTGACTGTCAGCCTTTTGCCTACCATGTTGTCAATCAAATCATCACAGCTGACATTAGATACATAATTTTTAAAAAAAAAAAGAAAGAAGCATTAACCTCTTTTTGACCCTGAATGGTTAAATGTGGCACAGTGACTGCTAGCCCAGGAATCTGGCAAAGGCTGCATAAGAGCTATTGCAGCTCATTTCAGGATACAGAAAAACATCTACATGCCAGATCATGGCATCTGCTGCAGGACCTATAGAGCAGAAATTATATGATGTTTATCTCCTTTCCAAAATCTCATTTGTTTAAATAATTGCTTTTGGAAAAGAATCTTGCGTTGAAATTTTGTAGCATTTTTCTTTTTTTTTATGGGAAGGAAAACAGTTTATATTTGAAAGTACTTTTCTGGGAGAAGCAGGCGATGCTACCAGTAATGTTCCTTGGTGAGACCTGTGATCTTTTTTCTTGAATGGATTATGGATTATCTTGTGATAGATAACTCTCTTTGTAGAAGATGAACTGACTACTCCATTTGACTTTGCATTCATTTGCCTTTTTTTACAGGGACCATATTTATACTGTTGATATGGACACATCACATACAGAAGAAATTTATTTTAGCAAAGTAAGTAGCTTTTATCATCATCCAGAAACTGAGAACGCTAGAACAAGCTTCAAATAAATAGGAAGACGACATTGTTTCAAACAACTTGGCAGTGCTGCTGTAAAAATTGTAATAAGCAAGTAAGATGGCATTGCTAATCGTATTTGGGGAAAGCTACAATAGCAATCATATCCTCTGTGAATTTCTGATAAGTGATTCAGCTGGACTGATAAGCAGTCCATACTGAAATACAGTCAGGTCCCTGATAGAACATATGCCAAACATCTATTCATTTATATTCAGCAATTTTCTATAACAGGTATACTATCTCAATTAGGTATACTGAAACTTTCATCATAAAAAGCAAGTGCTATTTACGTATTTTCATACACACAAATTTTATTCACTCATGCAAGCTCTCACTAAATAAAATCTTATTATAACATCACTTTGTCTATGTATTCACATTATCTCCATGGGAAGTTACATTCAAACTAGGAAGAGCTTTGTCTGCATTACCATATTGTATATTAATATAAACATACTAGAAATAATCTCCCTTCAACTCCTTTGCATTCCATTCATGTTGTGTAATATGTGCCAAACACAGCCTTGGTCCAGCAGATCGTATGAATTTGGGCATTGGATGAATTCCACCTCAGGAGGGGAGAGTGTTTCATTGTAACTATGAATGATGCTCAAGATGAGCTTGTGCCCAATTACTCATCAAAAAGTGAAGGCGCAGGCTTGTAATGTAAATAAACATTGATGGTTACGCTTTCAGCTTGGAACCCTTCATGAATGAACAGTGCCTCAGTTTACTGATGGGAAACACTGTCGGGACTACTATGGCAATAGTGTCTAAGGTGTTACTATCTTAGGCCATATGTTTTTAAATAAAGTTTTTTTATAATTAGTCAGCCTACCACATTTGACCACACCTGAAACTCACCGCAAAAAAATCCAGGTTGGAATTTACCTGTAAATGTTCTGGAGGAAGAATGTTAGCAGATAAAGTCAGCAGTGTCTTGATAGGTAGAAGGCTTTCTGAGCCTGTTCGCTGAACTGAAGTGCTAAGAATTACCTGAATTTGATTGCTTTGCTAATCTAAAATGTGGTCTTCAAGAATACCTGTTTCATTTAGAATCCAGTTAGGGTTTGTAGTCCATAAATGTTTTTTCTGATTTGCAGAACAATATCAAATTAAAAGAAGAGAACATCTAGTACTTTTAAGAAAAGTGCACATATTTTTGAAAGCTGGCCTATTGCTGAATTCCGTTGGTTTAGGCTTTAAAAAAAAGGGATGGGTTTCTAGTCTAATGAATAGATGGCAGCACAAAATTAAGTGAATGCTCCACATCACTGATCTTGCATTGTTGTGATGAATTAATCATGGAGAAAGGGTGCAGAAAGCTTTCAATAAATATATGTTCAACAGCTAGTGTCCCCTAAGGGACTTCTACTTCTGAAATCAAATGCAACAACCTCTGGGCTCTAATTGATTTCTTTCTTGATCCTTGCAGAAATTGACATGGAAATCTAGACAAGCTGATGTAGACACATGCAGAATGAAGGGAAAACATAAGGTAGGCAATTTTCATTTCTTCTGCATCTGCCACTTTAGTTTAGTTGCTTCACTATTATCTCAGGCTGCTGTCTGTGATGTGGAATGGATCATGCCATTCATTTCTTGCCAGCAATTGCTTTTTCCATCAGCTTACTGAAGGCTTTAATTTGCAAAAATAGTTTACTTTTAATGTAATAAAACATTACGACAGGAGCCACAGCAATATCCTGAAATACTTAAAGCACTGAGGATTTTGGACATAATGCTTAGTGTACTGATTTTGTTTACCATTGCTTCAAAAGCTAAGTGCTGCTGTCCATCCTCCTGCAGGAATTTACTGAGAAGTTTGTGTAAAGCAGCAGAAAGCATAAATGTGTAAAGTTGTAGAAGGACTGTTTCTCACACCAATTTTACCCTGCTATAAGCTATAACTAGCACAAGTGGTATCAGAATCAGATGCAGACTCTTTGATTCTTTACACCTGCTTCCCCTTCTAGTTACAGATGCTTTATGCCAATGCATTGCATTGGTGATGCTACTGTCTTACAGCAACATAGATAAGAAGAAGATCAGATTTTTCGCTCTTGAGGAAAGCAGGAAT